CCCCCCCCCAGTCCCATGCCTTCCACCCCAGCTGGGCAGTTTGTCCCAGACCTAATCCCTCCCCCATACCGCTTCCCTCCCCCAACCCCAACTTATTTACCAGTGGAGGCAGCTGTCAGCTGCCTGTTTAGTCTATGGCCGAATCTCCGAATCGGCCGCATCTTTTCCGAATCAACTCCGAGATGTTATTTGGACTCCCCATTAGATTCAGAAATTTGGTCCCCAAATTGGGCCATATCGCCTCCACATTGAATCAGCTACCGAAGCTTCACACAGCCCTAATGAACAAGTCTAATGCATTTTGCTGCCAGTAGTTACCCCTCATATTCTTAGCTGAAAAAAATCTCTTTTTTTTTTTTTTCAAGGAACTTAAAAAGTAAAAAGAAGTCAAATCGACACTCAGTACAACTTCCAAAAAGGATTCGGAATCAGGGCATTTCTTATTTATACACCGTAGTACCATTAAACTAACAACTTATTAAAATCCCTTGAGCTAATCAACTCATTTAGTATGCCCACTCACTGGCACAATCTTCAAGTGCACATCCAATACATGAGCTGTGATACCCAAGAGACAGAACCAAAAGCTCTACTGAAGGACGCAAGTATAAAAATACCTTTGATCCTGGCCAAATTTTGAGAGGAGTAGATGCCTTGTTGATTTTTTTTCTTTAATAAATCACTATCTGTACTTAGACCTGGAAAAACACCACTAATATGGTATGGCTGTAAACCTCATTAAAGCACATATAGAAATAGCATGGACATTTCAAAACTGACCGAGACGTACTGTAAAAGTTTGTGGGAAAAGTTTGAACAGAGTATACCTCAATTAGCCTATCCTCTAGAGTATCACTTCAACCTGTTAAATGAATCTTAGTGCCCCCTTACCAAAACTTTGCCCAAAAACCTACCGTAATGGATAAAGACATTTATAAATGTTAAATACTTAATTTTCATTTGTGTTCAAAACCCCAAATAAAGAGATGAGAGACAATAAGCACTTACTTGTAACTGCAGTTCATTTACAACTGCTTTTTCTCCCTCCTGAAGCCAGGCAACTTTGAATTTAGCATTCCCTGGCCCATATTTGTGTTAAAGTTTTTCCTTGTATTCAAAAGAATCAATAATGGTGAGGGTTAATGCCCATCCCAATACTTTCATATCAAAATATTGCTACTTTTTAGGGGAAAAGTTGTTTTAAATTTTCTCTCCCTCTCAAAAAGTCATGATCAAAACTTTGCGAGTAGATTTGGGTGTAAAGTGCTCTATTTTGAAGCAAAGAAATGTAAATCTGACGGACTTGTTGAAGGTCATAAGGAGAAAGCATTTAAGATGAGCCCTATGTTTTGTAGACTGTATGGCCACATCCAGATGAGTGCAGACATTTGTTTCCTTGGGGACAAGTAGCAGCTGTGGTGCACCTTGCTCTGCAACTACTTGTCCCTAGGGAACACCTGTGCCATGCAGCAAGTTAACCGGGGGCAGGGGGGGGGGGTAGAAGAGGCTGGG